TAACAGCACAATACAACTCAATCAGGATACTAACACCTTCTTCAGGAAAACAGAAGACTTCAAATGCGAGTGCGAACTCTGCCCACAGATAGGTGCACGGCGTATACCCGAGGCGTTTTCCCATAAAAACGCCTCCTCTGTCAGCGGCCGTAAGCAGACAAACTTTCTGAAGAGAGTTTCGATGCTTTCAAATAAAATCTAAGCGAAACAAAGTGTAGCGAATTTGCTGAATTGAGTTCTAGAGACGCCGTAGGAAAATTGAGGCAGAAGAAAGAATTTCAGGAAAATTTCACAGTTGTTATGAAGTACTCTTCGAGTGGATTCCAACAATCTTTACCGCTTCTCATCACATTAATTTCAAAGGAAGTTATGGGCCTTTGAAGACTGCATAGTCGCGGTCCAGGAAAAGGCTTGAAAAAAATCAAGGTGGAATAAACGGAACAACGGGACTATTTTTTGAGCGAGTGATTATTTCAAGAAGTTTTAGCACTTATTCGAAAGCTCTAATCCTCTAGTTTCTAATTAGCCTTAGACATCTGCAAAATGTTGAGTATGAAGAAAGTTATTAACGTTTGAATGTCGAAAACTCGCGCCTTCTCAAAAATCGGACCCCAAACCACCCAAAACGGAACAACGGGACTATTTTTTGAAAAAATGATCGCTGGAAAATTTTCAGGTGCTTGTTCGAAAGCTCTAATCTTCTAGTTTCTAATTAGCCTTAGACATTTGCAAAAAGTTGATTATGAAGAAAGTTATGAATGTTTGAATGTCAAAAACTCGCGTGTGCACAGAAAACGGAACAACGGGACGATTTTTTGAAATATTGAACATCCACAACATTTCAAATACTCCTCAGGAAGAAAACTATTTATATTTTTCAAAATTTTGGTGTCCGATTTCATGAAACAGCTTCTGAAAGAAAATATAACCTTCTGAATGGAGGGGTTTGGATTGCAATGTAATTGCTACAAGGTTTAGTTTTTCAGATTATAAGGTAAGGAAAGTTGAGAGATCGAAAAAATCCTGGTGGGTTTCTGAAAGTAGAAATCTTTACGATTAAAATGATGTATTGGTTTACGCAAAAATTTGGAAATTCCTTCTATTTAATGAATAAAACTTCATTTGCCTCGATTCCTCCTCTGAGCGAGACAGAGCGCGCGGATTGACCACGGTCCACCACTTCTCCATGTTGGTGACTGCCCATACATCATTGATGAGCATTAAATTATGTGAAAGACATGATAGTTAATATGGGGGGTCGTACCGATACCCCCCGAAAAGGAAGGGGGTCGTAAAAATTTGGAATTTGCGCAACGCAGGGTTGACCCTGGCCACACAGCATTCACAAGCAACAGGATCCAGGGACCCAGAGTACCCAACGCAAAGTGCGACACAACCGTCGTCGGTGCGACTGCAGAAACAGATACAAAAAGAAGCTCCCAAGGCTAAAACTACAAGAACGTCCAAGTAACAAAGCGTCACACAGCAACCGGATACCCTGCCCCTAATAGAACAACGAACTTGAATGCACGCAAACTACAAGCAACCATCCCTACTATATATAATGCGCTATGTCTGTCTGTCCGTCTGTCACGAAATTCGGTATCAAGCGAACAACAACCTACAGGGTCCAGGTCAAGTTTGGGATGGGTATACCATATCCCTAGAAGTAAAACAAGCGGAGCCCCGCCCACAGTGGGCGTGGCGTGCATCGGTTGATTCCAAATACAGTCAAAAACAGCCTCGAGACTGGAACAAAAAGTGGTTATAAATGTGCGTCGGTAAGCCAGATTGCATTGGGGAGACCCACCCTCGGTGGGCGGGGCGTTCTCTGGAAAAGCGGTGCTCAATGAAAATATTCAATAACTCGGTTAGGAGGAAGCCTACAGAGCAGAAAGAAATTAGTGCAGGGCAGCGATGTCTAAGGTATTTCCAGCACACATGATGTGAACGGAGGTCCGCCCACAATGGGCGGAGCGTGTCCTGAAGTAGACGACGTTTTCTACAAGAGCTCATAAATCGGCTCTGAGATGACTTGGAAACCTGAAAACAGTGGATACAGGTTAGGAGAAGAGGAGAAGCTAAATGTCAAGGCTGGGCGTAGCTTACACCAAAGTGGGCGGAGTTTGCAACCAGCCTCATAACTCGGTTCCTATGAGTCCCGGGGTGTGGGGAAAAGCGTATAAGTGTTGGCAGAGGGAAGGGGGTCAAGTGCTGTGGGCAGGTGGAGCATGCATTAAAGTGGGCGGAGTTTGCCACGGTACTTCATAACTCGGATCCAATAAGTTCCGGAGATGGGAAAATAGTAGAATGAGGTTGGGGAAGAGATGATAGTCATTTGGTATCGGTGAGCGAGGCATGTAACGAAGTGGGCGGGGTTTACCACAACGATACGTTGCTCGATTTCGTCCCCTACAAGACCTCATAATTCGGCTCCGAGATGACTTAGAGACCTGAAAAAAATACGCCAGAGGTGAAAGTAGGAGTAGAGGTTGAATGTGAACGCTGGGCGTGGCACACCCGGATGTGGGCGGAGTTTGCCACCGCTCTCATAACTCGGTTCCTAGAAGTTCCGGCGACCGGGGAAAATGTGCATAAGTATTGAGGTATGGAGTAGGGTTGAATGCCATTGTTGGGCTAAGCATGCACCAAAGTGGGCGGGGTCTGCCTCAGAAATTCGTGACTCATAACGCCATTTACAAGACCTCATAATTCGGCTCCGAGATGACTTAGAGACCTGAAAAAAATACGCCAGAGGTGAAAGTAGGAGTAGAGGTTGAATGTGAACGCTGGCACACCCGATGTGGGGTTTCACGCCCTGCGGAAGTGGTCTGGAAGTTGACGAAACTGTTAGAAGCCGGCGACCGGGGAAAATGTGCATAAGTATTGAGGTATGGAGTAGGGTTGAATGCCATTGTTGGGCTAAGCATGCACCAAAGTGGGCGGGGTCTGCCTCAGAAATTCGTGACTCATAACGCCATTTACAAGACCTCATAATTCGGCTCCGAGATGACTTAGAGACCTGAAAAAAATACGCCAGAGGTGAAAGTAGGAGTAGAGGTTGAATGTGAACGCTGGGCGTGGCACACCCGGATGTGGGCGGAGTTTGCCACCGCTCTCATAACTCGGTTCCTAGAAGTTCCGGCGACCGGGGAAAATGTGCATAAGTATTGAGGTATGGAGTAGGGTTGAATGCCATTGTTGGGCTAAGCATGCACCAAAGTGGGCGGGGTCTGCCTCAGAAATTCGTGACTCATAACGCCATTTACAAGACCTCATAATTCGGCTCCGAGATGACTTAGAGACCTGAAAAAAATACGCCAGAGGTGAAAGTAGGAGTAGAGGTTGAATGTGAACGCTGGGCGTGGCACACCCGGATGTGGGCGGAGTTTGCCACCGCTCTCATAACTCGGTTCCTAGAAGTTCCGGCGACCGGGGAAAATGTGCATAAGTATTGAGGTATGGAGTAGGGTTGAATGCCATTGTTGGGCTAAGCATGCACCAAAGTGGGCGGGGTCTGCCTCAGAAATTCGTGACTCATAACGCCATTTACAAGACCTCATAATTCGGCTCCGAGATGACTTAGAGACCTGAAAAAAATACGCCAGAGGTGAAAGTAGGAGTAGAGGTTGAATGTGAACGCTGGGCGTGGCACACCCGGATGTGGGCGGAGTTTGCCACCGCTCTCATAACTCGGTTCCTAGAAGTTCCGGCGACCGGGGAAAATGTGCATAAGTATTGAGGTATGGAGTAGGGTTGAATGCCATTGTTGGGCTAACCATGCACCAAAGTGGGCGGGGTCTGCCTCAGAAATTCGTGACTCATAACGCCATTTACAAGACCTCATAATTCGGCTCCGAGATGACTTAGAGACCTGAAAAAAATACGCCAGAGGTGAAAGTAGGAGTAGAGGTTGAATGTGAACGCTGGGCGTGGCACACCCGGATGTGGGCGGAGTTTGCCACCGCTCTCATAACTCGGTTCCTAGAAGTTCCGGCGACCGGGGAAAATGTGCATAAGTATTGAGGTATGGAGTAGGGTTGAATGCCATTGTTGGGCTAAGCATGCACCAAAGTGGGCGGGGTCTGCCTCAGAAATTCGTGACTCATATTTACAAGACCTCATAATTCGGCTCCGAGATGACTTAGAGACCTGAAAAAAATACGCCAGAGGTGAAAGTAGGAGTAGAGGTTGAATGTGAACGCTGGGCGTGGCACACCCGGATGTGGGCGGAGTTTGCCACCGCTCTCATAACTCGGTTCCTAGAAGTTCCGGCGACCGGGGAAAATGTGCATAAGTATTGAGGTATGGAGTAGGGTTGAATGCCATTGTTGGGCTAAGCATGCACCAAAGTGGGCGGGGTCTGCCTCAGAATGAGAGCAGTAAGCTAGCTTATAGCCTCGTGTGCAATTTTCAAATAAGGGCAGCTTCAGCTAGCTTTTCCAAGCACTTCTCTCCGTGAATAAGGAAGCAGAGTCCCAAAGTACAGGAGATTTGAACTTGAAGTTGAACTTTTTCGACCGTAAGAGGCGCGACAAAGGTACCAACGCATTGTATTTATCCTTAAGATTGTTACCATTCTTACTGCTTCAACCATGCGGTGGTACGACATACACTCTCCAAAAACACTGGAAATGAGGAACAATTCTTCAGAGCTCGACCTTATTTCACGGTCGAACTCGAAGAATCACAAGGGGCGGTTCTCAGTTTCAATGTTTCCCATTTGTCTTCTTCCTTTTTCCTCACTCACGACCCTTTTGAAAGTTCTTCCTTCATTTTCAAGTGGTATTTTTCGAGTTAACTCAACAGATCGATCTCGATCCGTTGCAATAAAGTGCTCCTCCTCCTCGAGATATGTAGACCACTCACATTTATTCTCTTGCACTACGCATGCGTGACCCACCTGACCTATCTTTCCACAAAATTCGAGCGCTCCTACTTCCCTGATCGAAAACCGTTTTACTGGCACACATCAGTACCCAAGGATAACCGTCGAACCTAGTTATGATCGCTTCCAATACAGCTCCACGATCAACGCCCAAGAGATGGATTTCGTCAATGACGATCAGGTTCACTTTCCTTACGTATTCTCGAGTGTTCCAGCTTCTGAAAACCAGGAATAAATTATCGCAACTATACTGACGTGCATAGGCACTTATCAAATGATAAATATGTCCTAAAAACCACTTAATTAATCATTATTTTGAACTTACCTTGTTATACCGTCCCACTTTTCTGGCGTTGTGATCATAATCGGAGCAGCGTTCAACGTGTTGACATCGGGTGTGTAGTCGCCAGACACTTCCACTACTCTGAACCGCTAGCAAAAATTATTTCTTTCCAAAATGCTGCGATGTGGAAAACGAACGGTCCCCACCTATATCCCATCTTTTTCTCGAATTTTTCTCTCCAATCAGACACACGTTCTCTCACCAAAGCCTTCAGTGGAGCAATATAAACGCACTAAAAACAAGTGAATAAAACAATAAAATAAAGGATACAAGCAGACCACATGAGGTCAGCGCCACAGGAAACTCTTGTGATGCAAAGGATGAGCCTCTGCCACTAATTTACCTTTTTACCGGGGTTTTTCTGCAGGAGTCGGAAAATTGCCAGCTCAGCGCAGAGCGTTTTCCCAGAGCCGGTCGGGGCACCAATCAACGCGTTTTCGTCTGTATTATAAAGGCAATGAAAAATCTAAAAGGAGGTGATTCTATCGGTAATAAATGAGTAGTCAACTACACGGAAAGTCACTTAATGTAATGAGACTTACTTGAGTCTGAATTGGGTTGAAATAAGCAAAATTGTATATAGATTCAAATGCTTTGTTCCGCAAGGTAGTCACCGGTAACGGATCGAGAGGTAACAGATCTGAAAAAAAAACTTTTGAGCGTACGATGAAATAGAGGGGTTGTGTGAGCTAACCAAAATCTCAATCACAGATTCCCCGGTCTTGAATTCATGTACTGATTACGTATCCGCTCGCTCTAAGATTCAAAAGATGAATCAATGCCTTGCCTCAAAGAAAGCCGTTGGTTTCTCTATTAAAAAGGCACTGACGGCGATTCTGAGGCACTCCAATAATTCTATTTTTTTTGTCCACAAAATGGCTAGTGAGCTACAAGATTGAATAGCAATCAGGAGGGGATTGCTTAGCACACTGCGGTGGATGTGGTGAAATTCTCCAGTTGGATTTTATTATCTCGAGCTATGCCATCATCGAAACGTGTGCTCTTGGTTATCGTCTATAAGGACATACTTCTTGAGTTGGACAGTTGTTGGAATTTCGCCATCAGTCATTACCGTTAATCACAGTAGACCTTGGCTAGTTAAGTGCTGTAGCGAAGGGGAAGTTTTCGCCAGTTAAAGCGAGAGATTACGATAAAGTGTGTGTGCAGCGTGGAAGTACATGCACCAGTGGAAGCAGTAGTCAGGGGCCAAGGAAACGAAATGGCGTTTTTGTGGTCAAAGGTGCGCTAGTTGCAGCGTACTGGGCTTGCCATTCCTTTCTGAGCCCCGCCACCGTCTGTGCTCCGCCCCCCCCAGCAGCAGCGTCCAACTATTATTTGGATGAAGTATTTAACTTCGATCGCGTAACCTTCCCATAATATGCATATCAATTAAAGTATGATCTTTGCTGAATGATAGAGGCTATCAGCATAACATGTGCAAACGACCTCTTATTGGTTGCTAGCTCGTCCATTATCGGAGGTCAACGGGCAAAGAAAGGGGTCCCATTTTGCGCGTTCTTGACGGATTTCTTTGCTTTTTTCGCCACTGGGGCATTATTCAGCATCCCCACTTCCACTATGAACCCAGTCCAATCTTATCGTAATCCCTCGCTTTAACCCTTTGGCGACAATGGCACCCACCGGTGGGTGCCACTATGACCGTCGCGTGGGACAATGGCACCCAATGGTGGGTGCCACCCTAAAATTTTCTTCTTTACCCATTTAAAACATTTTCAACATATCAGTAATTATAAGCAAGCTCCGTTACGCCTATGTTTAGCATATTTTGCAGAAATGTTTGTTACTAGCTAATTTATATGAAATTTTAGGCACTTCGCTCGGCGATGTATTAACTAGTGTTTTACATTATTAAGCTTAAGGTGAATTACAGATCAGGACCTCTACGTCTTTTCACAGTCTTAAGACACAAGGAGGAGTTTGAACTATATCAAAAATTCTACTGTACATTTGAACTTCTAGAGTTTTCAAACACCATCCCTTTGAAATCCGAGATTTCTTTCCAAACTTCCACTTCTAATTCCAACAATACATGATCATAAAGCTTAAGACTGCAGTCATATTTTGTTTATTGTCATAGTCAAAATTTTGATAGAAAAACTGCTTTTAGGGACAATTTTGCCCCATTTTGTGCGAGAGTTGGGCGCGCCAAAAAGAGGCGTGGTCCCACGAGCACGTTACGTTACGTGCAAAACACCCCCTGCAAACGGATAACATAACCTTTCTCAAAACTGCTTGTGTTCCAGCACCTTCTGGTTGATCCAGCCACTTGTCCCTCCTGCAGGGGTTGACATAGAGTTGTCACTTCGTATACCCAGTAACGACGACTAGTTTGTACGGGGGAATTCGTAGACTGCGCTTGTCTCGCATGCTTGTTGGCAGAGTTTCGATCATGTAAGTCTTTGGTACCTTCGTGAGGGAGCGAAGACCTTCACGAATTGTGCACCTGGAGCATCTTACCAGTATGATAGCCGCAGAGCTTGACTCGTTCGGGTCAACAGCGCAATTATTCCTAATTCAATACGGCCTTTCTGAACCGGGCCTTTTTCGAAGGCCGTAGACCCTCAAGCTAAGAAGATCTAACCGTTCCTAAATACATATAGCCGATAGTCGACCACAGAAAATATATTGTGGAATAAATGTTGCGGCTGGTTTTGTCCGCACTGTGTTCAGTAGAAAATAAGAAATGTTTGACGAACACGACTCTCTCCTTTTCATTCCAAACTCGAAGGAAGCGATTGGGGGTGTGATTCGGTTACATAACTTTAATTCGGTTACTAGATGTAGCGCTCTCTCTACAGCATGCGTGAACGTAGATAGATATCTCTGGAGTTTTTGCGCAAGATCCAAAAAATACGCAGGAACTTCTGGGATAAACTCATATGTACTTGAGCGCAGGGCCATGAAGGGATAGGGTCAACATGGTGAGATAGGGGTCTCAGCACCGGAATTTTTTAAGCGCTTTCCTTATGGGAGATAGTGGTCTTAGCACCGAAATTTTTTAGGCGCTTTCCTCTATAACAGCAACAATTCACACTACCAGCGGATCCTGATTTATTTCGCTAGAAATCCCAGTTTGCTAGAACTTCTAAAGGTAAAACTCAGTTGACAAATTCTGAATTGTTTTTCTGCTTACCTGTGTGAGCTTTGTATGATTTTGGAAGAATACAATTGTGCATGGAAAGCGCTACAACCGTGTCGTTGACAAGGAAGTAGTCGCTGGCGACACGAAGTTGAAAAACATTGGTTAGTTGATGATCTCGAATAGGGATAGTGAATACCAAATGTTGCGGCTCAACGGCTTTCACCTAGACAGGGTCATTGACATTTGTGTCGACATGTAATTTCGATCAAACATTCAACCTTTTTCTTATTGATCGCAATTTTTTCTTGGTGGATGATTAAGTTCTCATCTATATTCTCCAACGTAAGCCAGAAGGACTGAGCTCCAGTCTTCCCTAAGAAGCGATCATTCCAGAAGAAAGCAGGCGTTAGCGTGGCCGTCACTTGCATGATAGTGCTAAAAGATCGGAAAAATATCAGCAAAATGATTCTTGAAAAGTTATCAGAACTCACTAAGTAATCGGTTTAAGGACAGCTTCCACCTCTAGCCGTGGCAGCATACGCATTGTCTGATATAGCTTTTCTCCATCACAGCTAAACATGTAGCCTGTAATAAAAATAAGATCAGCAGCTTTGAGCAGCATGATATTGTGAAAGACGGCAGTCAAAAAAGACTAGAAAGTGACAACAAGCGATTTGAAAGACTTACCTAACTCCTTTGCTGTGAGATCCAAGAGCTGGGACTCTGTGAGCTTTCGCCGTTCAACTTTTTCAATGAGATCTATTCGAAGGAATTCGTCAAGCTGCCTGAAACAAAGAAACATGAACAGATAAAGGATAACATATCTAACCATATTTTTGAGCGCACAATGGAGATAGCTGTCAGAGGCTACTAGTAAAGCGCAACTATTTGCATTTCTGACCAGCAACCCCTGTTGAATCCACACTGAGAAATGCAGTAAACTCTAGCACATTAAAGGACGAATTCACGCTGAAAAAGGCAACCCATTTCAAATTAACTTAGGGATGGTGAGTGGTACACGAAAGAAGGAAAAACCATGAGAAACGGCCCAGAACCCGAGAAATGGGACCCCTTCCTTGCCCGTTGATTTGAGCATTGATGCGACTCTCATCGCTGTGCCCTCTTCAACACTACGCTCTCTCAGCTATCTAATCACTCGCCACGTATAGACCTGCGGCGAGTGATCAGATGATCGGTGGGCGTGCACGCCAACCGCGCCAAGATTGAGCCTTCCTATGCGCTTCAGTCGCACCTTAGGAGGTCCTGCGGGTCCCTCAACTAAGTAAAAAACCCCTTCTTCGACTTTCATTCTAATCGCGAATTCGTCCTATAAGGTCAGCGTGATGCGCATACGCACCACATCTTCACGTGGATCTGACGCATTTTGCCAGATTTCTTTAGCCTTTTTCATGTTACAAAATCTCTGCATACATTATAGTAGAAAGTAGTACATTTATTACCAGTTACGGAATTATTGAAGGAGTATTGACAATCGTGTAAAAAAATAATCGAAAAACAAACGTGCTGAAACATACGCACAACGGGCTGTCGTCAATGCGTGAAGGTAATGCGCATGCTGAGCGTGTGGGCGCTATCAAACCAATCATAAGTATAACGCGCCGCCGCGTGCGTCCACTTGCGCGGCAATTTTCGAGAAGCGCGGGACTTTTGAGTTTGACGGTTGAAGCAGCATATTGAAGTTGGATCTTAAAGGGACGGGCCTGCTTGGCGTCCTTGTAACATTCAAGTTCAGATGACGATCACAGAACTCGTCTCACTTGTGAAGTCGCGGCCGGGTAGGCGCAGAGTCAACCCTGCGTTGCGCAGTTTTCAACGGCCACGTTGCGCAGTTTCGCCCGATTAGACACGTTCTCTCGCGCGAACATTCACACTCGCATGCTCGAGCCGTCTGCGTCTCCGCCCATACAGCGTGCGTTGAGGATCTCTCAACGTGCCGTTGCGAACTGCGCAACGCAGGGTTGACTCTGTCGGACGACTCTGTTGACAGACACCCCATGGTATGATAAAAAAGCATACATATGTCCTTCACATGTAAGTTTTCAAGCAGGAAAAGCATCGAAAAAGTAATAGGTATCCCACATCCTAATTAATAGTCGATTTCGTCTGTCTTTTCTGTGTCACGAAACTCGATAATGTGTTAAAATCCACTTGAAGAGGCCAGGTCATGTGGGTTCTTGGAACATGAGCGAAGAAGTATCAAACGGTTGCATCAACTAAGAGGAGCTCCGCCCATATGAAACATGCAGTCAAGTTTGCGTTACTGGCGACTGATTGAATTTCAGAAGAGCCTCAATGCCAGGGGAATGAGTGAATGTGCTAGGTTAGAAAGCCTATCCATGAGCGAGATATCTAAACATGCGGCGCTTTCTGCAAAAACCCATAAGTCGCTTCCAATGCAGCGAAGAGACTAAAAAATAAGTAGTAGAGACGAGCAATGCATAAAGCCACGGGTCGAGATTGTGTCCTAAGAGCCAGTCCTCCCTGGAGAGAGGAAGAGAGGTCCACAGGCGAAGACAAGGCGACATTGTCGCCAATCAAAAGTGCAAGGGGAAAAAGCGAATAAGGGGTCCCTAAGCGGAGCAGGCACTGTCGCGACCAAAAATGCGAGACAGCGGCGCTAAGGCCTTGCTTGTGTGCTGCCGTGCTGCCATCCTTATCAATCACGGCATACGTGGTGTTTGCGCCCTCTCGCGTACGACGTACTCTCTCGCGTTCTCCCTCTCCTCGCAGCGCTGTGTCTCTCCGTCAAATCACGGCCGGTTTTGCAAGAAAAGTTCAGTGTCTTCTTGCTTGTTATCCCCACTAATGCTCCACAATGGAGCACTTGACTAATCTTCAAAAAAGAATAAAACGTCATCAATTTCGACTCGTGCCTTTGTGGGGAAGTGAGTATATTTAGAGTGAACGGAGCGCGGACAGGGATAGCCACAAAACCTTATAATTAGGCTCCGAGATAGTACATAGAAAAAGAAAATGTTCGAATAGTAATGGTAGGTAACTCGCGATCCGATGCGAGCAAAGAAAGATTTGGAATTTCGAAAGGTCCGTCCATATTTCTAAAAAAAGTCGCTTGTGCGTGAGTTAGCGTGCGACGCTATTTCGACATCTTTATACAGTAATCTGTTACCATTACAGCCCGAAACTATGGCTTTCGGCACCTCATCACAATCAGAGACCGAACAAAGCAAAAAAGGACCCACCTCAAACTACTTTGGTTAGGCCAGACTCGCTTCTCAATACATTTCGACATCGTCAGAAAGGCATTTGCCGCCTGAGCCCATCCTCTTCGTAAGACTATTTCAAATATTGCCCGACACAATCGGCCAGCATTCTGTTGGACGTAGAGCGATTCCGACGCTAGCGAAAAACTGCGGACGAACGTTCGCGAAATGTGACTCTGAAATAGATAGACGATCTTCGATAACCATGACGCATAAATCTAGTATTCTTTTTTGAGGGAAGGGCCGTTAGGCTATTTCCAATAGTTTCTCCTTTCCTCTCCAATTTCTCGGGATTCTGTACAAATATCGCTCGCCTTAGTTCTCACGAAATGGCTCACCTGAATCGTAGTACATGGATTACGATTTCATCAGAATGATATCTGCATATAGGGCAGGTAAACATGGAACCGCGTGCACTTTTCCGATTTCTCCATGTTCCTACTGTCTATGTATTTTTTGTCTCATGCAGCATTTTTGCATTTTTCCCGCTATCATAGAATAAAGGTAGTGATCACGACGGCTGGACGGCGGTGTTCGGTGATATTCCTAGACGCTGGTGAAGCACTCTCGGCGCGCTGGAAAGTGTGCTTGAGACCGCCTCTGAACGACCTTCCAACAAAGACGTTCAATGACGTCATCAGAACCGCTCCGCCCTCCAGCCATCGTGATCGCTGTCTTCAAACGGAGCGATTTTTTTAAAAACATAAGTAAGTCTCCATCCTAGAACTGTTATTGAATTGCGCCGATAAGGCTGCTTTCATAGTTCGCATCGGTGCGGTCGGTGCCGACGGCGCCGACGGCGCCGACCGCACCGACAGTGTGAAGAGCGTCAATACGCGCTCTGGCGCATGACGCGTACGTTGGGCGCAGATGGCGCGCTCCGATCGATAATCTTGGTTTTGGTGTATTTCTTGTGCTTTTCGATGTTTTTTTTGCGCCGTGTTGCTTTTATTCGTGTGTTTTCTGTTCATACTTATTCTTTTATGTCTTGATTCATACTTTTCAGTTGTTCCGCGGACGAGCGACTTCGTAGAACCCCGTCGTACTACCCCGAGTGGCTATACCTGGGTGAGTTCATCATAAGCAATTTTGTTTATTCGAGTGGACTCTATAATTTTAGAAGTTGCTTTTTCTTCGATACGATTTCCTGCTGGTGTGCGAAAGGCCGCCGGATCTTGGTAATTTAATTATTCGCACACCAGCAGGAAATCGTATCGAAGAGAAAGCAACTACTGGAAACATACAGTTCACTCGAATAAACAGAATTGCTCATGATGAAATCACTGGGTCTTGAAGCCACTTCACACGGGGTTATACGACGTCGCTCGTCCGCGGAACAACTGAAAAGTACTCATGAAGACATAAAAAATAAGTATCAACAGAAAACACACTTATAAAAGGAAGACTGAAGACAAGAAGTACACCAAACCCAAGATTATCGATCGGAGCGCGCCATCTGCGCCCAACGTACGCGTCATGCGCCAGAGCGCGTATTGACGCTCTTCACACTGTCGGTGCGGTCGGCGCCGTCGGCACCGACCGCACCGATGCGAACTATGAAAGCAGCCTTAGCGAATTACAGTGCGGTTAAGTTGTGAGATTACAAT